TTTGAAGATAAAAAACAAAAATTAAGTTAACATTTGAAAATGTGGAGTTTTTTTAATTATGATTTTAATATCTATATATCGATAATCTAACGATTTTTTATATTATTAATCCATCATTTATTATTTTGGTATGGTAAATAAAAGTAATATATGATGGATAATATATTTAGATGAGTAGCATACTCCAATAATAAGAGGAAGTATGGTTGGTAAACAATATTATCTTCAACAAATTGTGCAAGAACAAAAAAATTATGCAACAAACATTTTGAAATAAAAGATATATTAGATCTTGATATTGATCATACTTAAAAGCTAAAATCGATAGTATACTTTCTATTTTGAAATCGAGGATAATACTTGTAATCGATTATCATTATGAACCAAATGAATAATGTAATTCTATGAGAGGTTAAATCATGTAGATTGTGAGTTAGTGTGAATAATAATTATTCCCTTTAAAAAAATAAAAAATGTAAATAGTAATTAGCAAACTTTTTTCCCTATAAAGAAAAAGTTACTTAATTTATAAAATAAACAAAAATAATGAAACAAATACCAAAGTACCAAACATGCACTTAGTTCTAAAGTTGTAACAAATTTTGTCTTCCCCCAACAATAAGAACACCTCATCTTTCACACAAACTCACCCACCTCAAACCCATTTCTCAAAACAAATTCAATTTTTTCATATCTAAATTTTCTAAACCTAACTCTCTCAACATTATTTCTTCAATATATACAAAGAATTTTCCAAAAAAAAATGAAAATTTTTAAGAATTATTACATGCACCTTAAACACCATCATCAACACCACCACATCGAAAGAAAATGGTTTTTCCATTTTCAATTATTTTAATCTTTTCATTTTTTCTTTTCTTCTTATTCTTAGTTATTACACTAACCTCACCCGCGGTTACACCTACCTTCCCTTTCTACCGTTCCGTCACCGCCACCTACTCCGTTTTCGTCGAATCCAAACTCCACCCTTTACCTATCGCCACCGTCCCTCCGCCGCCGCGAATCTCATACCTCATCTCCGGCTCCGCCGGCGATGGCAACGCTACCAAGAGAACGCTCTTATCGCTCTATCATCCTCTCAATTACTATATTCTTCACCTCGACCTTGAGGCTTCGCCTCGTGAGAGGTTAGATCTGAGGAATTTCGTGAGAGAGAGTGAATTGTTTCGGAGGTTTGGGAATGTTAGGGTTATCAGTAAGGCTAATTTGGTGACTTATAGAGGGCCTACTATGGTGGCGAATACGCTTCACGCCGCTGCGATTTTGTTGAAGGAATGTGGGGATTGGGATTGGTTTATTAATCTTAGTGCTTCTGATTATCCACTTGTTACACAAGATGGTTGGTTTCTCACTTTTTTTGTTAAGTTGCCGCCAATCAGAATCAGTGGCACGAAGTTTTGATATATATATATATATATATATATATATATATATATATAGGACAACAAATTTTATTTCTATTTTTGTGAAGGAGGAATAATATTTGTTGTCACATAAGTTATGTCAGAGCCATATGCCTTGGATTCTGATTGGTCGAGTCGAGTAATATGAACCAATCAGAACCTATGGCAGAGGTAAAATTGTAATCTCGATATAACTAATAAGGATATAAGTGTCATTTTATTTAATGTTTTCTTTGTTTTTTCACACTTATGTGGGATAGCATAAGTTAACCTTTTTTGTTGTTGATTATGTTATGAGGTTTGGTTTTGTGGGACTGATTTGGTGTTTTGGTGAATTAGATTTGCTGCACATGTTTTCTTACTTGCCAAGGGATCTTAATTTCATTGATCATACTAGTGACATTGGTTGGAAAGAGTGAGTTTTTGTTATTTTCTTCTTCTTTGTAAATATATTTTACTTTTTGAAGTGAGGTTATTTATTTTGTGATGTGTGTTGAATAGTCATCACCGTGCAAGACCGATAATAATCGATCCGGGGTTGTATATGAGTACGAAGCAAGACGTATTTTGGGTTACACAGAGGAGAAGTAGGCCAACTGCATTCAAGCTTTTCACAGGTTAGGATCGATTTCCTTCACTTTATCGCCTTAGTGTTTCTTTCTTTTATTTGATCCAGGTTTATCACAGTAGTATAGATACCATATGCCAATGAGAGTTTGTGTGGATAGAGCTACCCGTATTTACAGTAGAAGTCCTAGCTTGTTTTGGGCTTTCCACTTTAGAGGAATTTTTTCTTTCAATACATTGTGATGAACTTAAAATAGTGAAAAAGCTTAAAAGAACCTTTGTGTATTTATTTCATCGTATCATCAGTTCAGTTTTGGGTTTATATGCCAGAAGGTATCACTGTTTTCCATCAGTTTTTGAATCTGCTATTAATAGAGCAAGACTTTGTTTGAGTACTTTCTGGTTAGCTGCAATTACTTGTGTTTTTTTACTTATGCTGCTAAAGTGATTTGTTTTTCTAGAACCTGTACTCTGGCTGATTTTTGTTTGAAACAAATTCGGTAATGAAAACTTATGAAAGTTGAAACTAACGGAAAACCATTTATTTGTTAGTATGAAAACTTTTGGCTACACTCAAACCAAGATTACTTCAAGAGAGTTGGAAACATTGAGCAGTATCTATCCTTGTTCTGCAACGTGATTATGTAATTTTCAGGACATGTGAGTGAAGGCTACTTATTTGTGACCTTTTGTGTATTTTTCCTGTGAATTAAACATTGTGACGTCTGATAGGTTAGAGAGATGTAACACATCCGATGACACTAATTTCTAACTTTTTGCAATATAACATTTCCTTGCTATAACTTTGCTTCATAATGAGTTAATGACCTTTTGGAATCATACACTCATTTTATTCTTTTGTATCTTGTTGATCCTAGAAGACATTTTATGTTTCATCATTTGGACTAGATCGGTGAATTCTGGTGCAACATTATTATAGCACGGATACATTATTTCATTTGTAAATTCCATTTTAGTCACATCCATTTTTTTCTCAGCATCAATTCTTGAATTCTTTTTGTCATATTTTTGTTCCATTGTGATGATTAATGAATATAATTGTGGTAGGTGAACAATCCTCTTTGTTCAAATGGGATCAAATCCCCTAGTCTGATCTGTTTTGATTGTATGTTGCACCATTGTATTTAAACAGATTTTATATGATACTTTTGTTATGCATCTTGGACTCATTCCCCTCCATGAATTTGACAAGTGAATTGCATGCTGATTGATTGTATACTTTTTGTTATTGTAACATATCTTTAATAGATCTTCCATGCAGGAATAATTTCACTTCTTTTTAATATGTAATGTTTAAGTGTTTTTGAAACTAACATTGCGAGTAGTAAATATACAATCCTTAGAAGAGAGAACATTGACGTAATTGATTATGTAAACTCCTCTCTTGTTAGGTTCGGCTTGGATGGTACTCTCAAGATCTTTTGTCGATTATACGATATGGGGATGGGATAACCTACCACGAACTGTTCTCATGTACTATTCAAATTTCTTATCTTCCCCTGAAGGATACTTCCACACAGTTATTTGTAATGCTCAAGAGTTCAGGAACACAACTGTTAATAGTGATTTACATTTCATTTCTTGGGACAATCCTCCCAAGCAACATCCTCATTACCTTACCGTTGATGACATGCAAAGGATGGTTAACAGCAATGCTCCCTTTGCAAGGAAGTTCCACAGAGAAGATCCAGTATTGGACCGAATTGATGCTGAACTATTATCTAGAGGTCCTGGAATGGCTGTTCCTGGAGGCTGGTGCATAGGAAGCAGGGAGAATGGAACTGATCCCTGCTCTGAAATCGGTGATATTGAAATCCTCAGGCCTGGCCCTGGTTCAAAAAGACTAGAAACATTGATCAGCTCATTGTTGTCAAATGAAAGTTTCCGTCCAAGACAGTGTGTATGAGAAGAACCAACGCGCAAACATAGTCTGGTAAAGATTATTTTTCGCTGCCACAGTTTTAGTTTATATGTTCACGTTTAGTTAGCGTGATCAGTAAATTACTGTTTCTTTCCATTTGGAAAAGAAAATAGTGAAAATATACACATCATCTTTCATATTGCAAATATAAAGTGAGACAAATCTGGTGAAATGAGATTTTGACTACAGAGCTGGATCTTACACTGTAATACTATTACCCTTTGTCACCATTTCCCTCCTTTTCACTTACTTTATTCCATCCCAGCCACATCAATTACAAGCATTGAAGGTGATCTCTAGCTTTATCGTTTTTCGGGTTTCGTGTTGAACAAGAAAGAAGGGGGAAAGAGGGTGGTGATGGAGGGAATTGTTAGTGTGGAAACAAAAGAACAAAACCAAGCTGTGTAAAATGGAATGTAAATTTGTTTAATGTATTTTTCATTTAGCATATGCTTTCCAAATTCATGATGTTATTCTTCTTTTTACTTATTAAATATAAAATAAAATAGTAAAATAATAAATAGTGAAACCTAAATGGAATGGAATGTTAGTCTCATGGCCAGTCCCAAATGGTAAATGCAGCGACGCCACTCCACAAGGCAATGGAATATGAGACAGCTAACGGCGGAGATGCCACCAGTGACGGTGGCGCCGTCAACACCAAAAAGCATTGATATAAGACGGTTACTTGAGAAATATACAAACATAGAATAGTTTGCTCCCACATATATATAGCTTGAGATCCTAGATCATGAATCTCCCGTCTATTTTCCATTAAATTATTAATAAAATTAAATCAAATTCTGCTCAGAATTTAGAATTCTCATTCTCATTGATTTTTTAAAATCTCTGAAGTCTGACATGTGAATTTGTTCTTAAATCATCAAAGCAGAATCAAAATTATAAAAAGAGATCAGAAATTGGAAAAAGGTTTTCGGTCACAGTTAATCAGAAACACGGACCAATGAAAAATTCATCATATCTCTTATAAACTTAGTTTTTCACATAAAAATATTGTAGAAAATATGTGAAGAGAATAAAGAAACTTATCTAGAAATATATGAAAGGATCATCAGAGACTTAAATACAGAAGAATCATTGGAATGGAATTCCAATCATATTGTTGCAGTTATTTTTTTCTCATCACTTGAAATATACAGAAAGAAAAAATCACATAACGAAAGTGTAAACAAACACAAAATGAAAGATTGGAATGAAAAGAAGAAAGGTGGATTGAACGAGGATGTTTGGTAGAGGCAATTTATAAGGATGTTTGGTCGGCGTAGTGTTGAAACCCTAATAATAATATCCTATAAGAATAATATTAATAATGTATCTCCTCATACCATAAGATAATTTACATCTTTCATATCTTTATGAATATAATGTGTATTGTATTGTTTTGTTTTAGATTTTTTTTTTTAGAAAATGATTAAATGGTACCTATGTCACAATTTTAGTGGCTGAATGTGATAATTTATCTCCTTATATCAGGAGATACATTATTTTCGTAAACATTCATAAAGATATGGATGTTGATAATATATATTTTTTGTTATATTTAAGAGTATCCTCTAGATATTTTTTCTTCATGTGTAGTTATATTTCCGTCTCTTTTTATAATTGAATATTTGGTCTATATAGAAATTCAGTAGATATATATAGCCTATCAATATATGTGTATATATACATATATATGTTATATATAAATACAAAAAAATTTATAATTACATATGTTGTAATTTCTCTTGCCTAATTTTCCATTCTAATTAACTTTAACACAATAAAAAATATCAAGGAAGTTACATTACATACACAAAAAAATATCAAACCATCAATGCAATTTTGAATCAAACTTTATAATAATATCATGATTCATTTTCATATATCTTTATCACAAAAATTTAAATATAATGTACACTCAATACAAAAAAATGTGATATAATTCTCTAAAATAAAATAATAAAATTAAATATTCAATACTATAAAATAAGAATATGGGTCGCCAGATACGAAGTGTCTGTTGACACACTAGTATTATGCAAAGACAAAACATACCTAAGATGCATACTAGTAATTGAATTGATATGATTTCTATATTCTAGTCATACCCTTAACTCACCCTCCCCTCAACTAAGAAACATCACAATATTCTAAATCATAAGAAAAATATTTGTGCATGTCAACACGCGAGTACTATATAACGACAAAACCTACCCAAAGGACATATAAGTAATTGAATTGATGTAATTTCTATATTCCAATCACACCCTTAATTCACCTCTCTCAACAACGAAACATCATAATATTCTAAATTCTCAAAAAAAAATTGTGTATTTCGACACACGCGAGTGTTATATAAAGACAAAACATACCCAAATGACATACTAGTATTTGAATTGATATAATTTCTATATTCTAACCATACCCTTAACTAACCTCCCCTCAACTAAGAAACATCATGATATTCTAAATTCTAAAAAAATATTTGTACATGTCTCCATGCGAGTACTATATAAATAAAAAACCTACCTAAAGGACATACTAGTAATTGAACTGGTATAATTTCTAAAATCCAATCATACCCTTAACTCACCCTCCCCTCGACAACTAAACATGATAATATTCTAAATTCTAAAAAAAATGTATATATCAACATGCAAGTACTATATAAAAACAAAACCTACTCATATGACAAATTGAATTGATGTACATCTATATTCTAATCATTCCATTATTTCATCCTCCCCTCAACTAAGAAACATCACACCATTCTAAATTCTCAAAAAAAAAATATTTGTTGTAGACATAACTCATAACCAGGTTAGTAGTACGTCTCACCCCTTCAGACTTCTTTTCTTTTTTATATTATCACTTATTCAGTTTTTACGAGTTTTCTTTTAAAATATGTGACAATTTTTAATTGGATTGTGAAACAATTAAGATACAAAAAGTGGGAGGAGTGATATGATTTCCCATTATTGTGGCTTGCATCGATTTGTAGTGCCCTAGGCCTTAGGAAAGATTGCAATAAATTTGGAGGGAAAGTGGGGAGATCTCCTATTTTTCAAATTGTCACTCCAATTGATGACACTAATAAAATGACCCATATACTATGGGTGAGCAGGAATCGACCCTACCCGCTCATTAAGTATGGTCAAATCATAGTCAAGCCCATATAAGATTGTGTCTCTTTAGGTCTAGGGTCGGGTTCTAAAATTAGACCCGATTAATATTTAGGATCGGGTATGGGACAAGCATGACTCGGATCGTCCCGTCTCATGGTCACTTACTCATCATGTTTGTATATGTCTTTATTCAATTGTGTACATACTTCTTTTGTCGAAAGTATCATTGATTCTCTAATTTTTCATCATATATATATGATTAATAATATATACACATATTTCATTTTATATGTTAATTAAATATCCATAATAATAAGTAATATTTATAATATATTATCTAAAATAGATATGCATTATCTAAAATGATATGTTCAAGTTCAAATGTCGATCTGAATGACATTTAGGGTCGAGTCTAGAGTCAGGTCCATATTCAAAAAACTATCTTGATCAATATTCATGGTCGGATAAGGGACAAACCTTATCCGACTTAACCCGACTCATGATTAAAATTATAGTAACTAGTGTACAGAAATGTTAAAGTAAGTTGAATGAAATTTAATAGAGCAAAATTAATATGCTATCAATGTTTAAGGGATAACATCTATTTAATATTTTAATTAATATAGAATTTATTATTGTCATCTAAAAGAGAAAGAAAAATATTAGTCCTTTAAATAGTTATTAAAGTTTTCATTTGATATTAAATTGCCTTTAATCAATTTGTAATATATTGAATCAATTCTTTATTTTGATTGCATGCATCAGTTTTAAAAATAATTAGTAGATGCAATCAATATTTATAAATTTATTATTGTTGTTTTTATTATAATGTTTTTACTAAATTTATTATTATTATTGAATCAATAGTAGAAAATGTATGTTTGAGCTGGATCTAGTAGATGGCACCTATTGGTTATAATGTTTAGGAATGATGTTACATCTACTTCTCAATATAATATTGAAGAAATTAAGAGAAATGAGTTGTTAATTTTTTTAGTGAGACACACTAATGATATTAGAAAGAAGTGATTTTGAAGAATTTAAAGTCTAATTAATTTTAGTGACTTGAATCCTTAGGATATTAAGAAATTGAAAAATAAAATCTAATCCCAAGGTCTTTTTTCACATTAAATCTACCTTTTAAAATTTTACTATTTGTCTTAGTTGTGAACCAAAACTAATCTCAAAACCCAAAATTTAAGTTTGGAAAATAATTATTATTCAACAACTTAATATTACACAAGTTTTATGGATATGATATTTCTTTATATATTTTTTTCGATAACCTATTTTGTAAAATATTGAAATAAATAACATATTTTTTAAAGTAAGACTTGAAATGTAATAATTTTTTACAAAAACTTTATCCTTACACAAACTTTAAGAAAATTGTCAAACATATCAATTAAAATAAACAACTCTTATAGGCACATCAAAGGTCAATATGAAATTATAATATATGATAACGTAATATTTATTTATGTATTATTTGTGTAAATATTTATATGCAGTCAGTGCAATATTCATTATTCATTTTATTACTTTTATGTAAGAGATAATAATAAGAATGAATGATACAACGATAATATACAAAACTCTTAGGTCACCAATTTAGAAGATCTTAAAGGAAGATCCTACCTATAAAGTACAAATCAACTTTGCCATTTTTATTATATATTATTAGTTATTCATTTTGAATATAAATTAATAATAGAAATATATTAAATATGTATAAATTTTTAGATATTATATTATTTAGATATGTTAGTAACACTACAACTCAGGCAGAAAGTGTTTACTTTTATTTGGAACACTAAGAATAAAAGACAAAGATGCACATTCACTCATCTTTCTTTATAGATATTAAGATGACTCATATAGGATAAATACTAACAAGTGCATACATAAATTGGACAATAATTATAAAATACAGATATTTGGTAGAGATATTTTGATACCACGTGATGGTCTTATCTAATTAAAAAACAAATAATAAGACTAAGAAAATTAAGATATTGGAAAGTAACTGTATTTCCAATTGTTTAGATATATTTACTAATATGAAGTAAATTTTTTAAACTTCTTTCGTATCTTATCTATCAATTATAGAGAAATTCAATAATTTAGATATACTCACTAATGTAGAGTAAGCTTTTTAAACTTAATATTGAAGTGAATCTCATCCTTAACTTTCTGCAAGAGATAAAAGGTTATTTGCTAAGGCATGACTTTGTATATAAAGGCAAAGCCTAAAAAAGCATCATCCACAAAAGAAAGAAAGAGTGATAAGATCTAAAAAGATGAAACCAGGAGACATGTTTACTTACATAGGATCCATTATTGCTTCTTTCATGTTTTTCTGGGCTATGTTTGAGAGATATTTTCCATCCCAAATCATAAAACAATTTGAGAAATACTCTCAAAGATTAGTAACTACAATCTACCCTTACATCCAAATCACATTCCATGAATTCACTGGTGAAAGAATGATGAGAAGTGAAGCATACTCAGCCATAGAAAACTACCTCAGTTCCAAGGCATCAACACAAGCAAAAAGACTCAAAGGTGACATAGCTAAGAACAATCAATCACTTGTTCTTAGCATGGATGATCATGAAGAAGTTGCTGATGAGTTTAATGGAATCAAACTTTGGTGGGCTTCTGGAAAACATGCTATGAAATCACAATCAATTTCATTCAACAATATGACAGATGAAAAGAGGTATTATAAGCTTACTTTCCATAAATATCATAGAGATATGATTCTAGGGACATACTTGAATTATGTAATGAAAGAGGGTAATGATATTAAGGTTAAGAATAGGCAAAGGAAGCTTTATACAAATAATGGTTCTTATTGGAGCCATGTAGTGTTTCAGCACCCTGCAACATTTCAAACACTAGCTATGGAACCAAAAGAGAAGGAATTAATCATTGATGATCTCATCACATTTAGCAAATCAGGTGAATTCTATGCAGGAATTGGAAGGGCTTGGAAGAGAGGGTATTTGCTATATGGTCCTCCA